TTATTGACAACAATTAGCTCAAAAAGGATGCAGATAAAATAGTGGTGAGCGATGAAACTGCCACCACATTCATCTCTTTCCTCCCACAGGAGGGTGAATCCCAGGGGTTGGGCACCTGCTGCACTGGGGAGCCAGCCCCAGCTCACCCACAGGGCACAGAAGCGGCCAGTGTGGGGTGTCCATGTGCATTCCCTCCATCAGAGGCTGGGCTTCTGGAATCCTTCCCAGCAGCTTCGGAACCACTCTACCTGCAGCTCAGCTAGTTTTTGTCCATTTATGGTTAAAAGCAGTATATTCACACCCTTCCCCACAGCGCATCAGCTCCTTCTGTTCCTACTTCTGCACGCTTCACTCCTGCTCTCAGCCCATCTCTTCCTGAACAGCCTCTATCTAATAAGCTTCATTTAACATAAGATATGCACATAAGTGGAGACACCATCACATATAAAGCTTAATATCTCAGATTATGCAACCATAATTTTTATCCTCCTTCTTCCCTTCTGCGGTCAGCGAATCTCCCTTCTGTAGAGATCAAAGTGGGAAACAAACAGCATAATGTTTCTTGTTATTCTGCGTTTCTTTCAACATCAACACTGCAAAAGTACAATAAGCTGTCCTCTCATTAAAAGCAACAAATGACATTATGAATGAATCCTATTCATTATCACAGGTTATACCATAACTTATTTATGGTATCAATGGACTCAATTCCTCAAGTTCAGAACTCCGAATTAAGTGTGACCAGGCAACTTAAACCATGTGTGTGCGTGCACATGATAAAAATGTATGAGTTACATTATTTCTGACTTAATGCTGAAAGCAGTAGTTATTACTGTGAAACTTAAGCCCTCTTTCTTCTCAGACTACAAGTAAGACCATAGTTTGGACAAGGTTTCTGTTACTATATAAGGTACAGGATGCCAATCCTGCTTCAGGAGCATTGTCTCAGAAATACAGAGGTTCTTTTGAAACAGTAACATATAATGTTCTTCTTAAAGCCCTTTATTTTTATTTATTTATAGTCTCTGTTCTCTGTAGAGGTTTCTTGAGATCATATAAAAAACTTCTAGGAGCACAATGAAAAGAAAGAGGATCCAGATTCCTGAAAAAAAAGACAATATCCACAGCAGTGGACTAAGTGAAGATTTAGAATTCTTGTAGCCTATTCTAAAGGAAGGGAACTGCAGAAACTTATTTAAATGAACTCTGCACATAACCATAAATAGCATTGTCCTCACTCTCCAAAAGATAAATGAAAATAATCAATGAAAAGTACAACTTCTATAGTAAGATCACAACAGTCCTGATTCAGCAGAGCTGTTTAAAACTCTGAGCATTTAAGTAGCCTGTGTTTCAGCAGTATTGTATGGGAGCAAAGTCCAAAGGTAAAACTCATTAACCTGTGCTAGCTACTCCGGGTCACCAGGGCAAAAGGACAAATAAGCCACTGACTCTTTAGTCTCCCAGCCAATTATTTGTTCTAATGATTTCTCAAGCCATGTTCCTGCATATATTCAAATTAAGGAAATTAATTCAAACTCATGCTTTATGTGAAAGACCTCCTGTCTTTCAGACCTAACACTTGAAAACAAACAAACCTATTAGGTTTCTTTGTCAGCAGTCAGCATTACAGCTGCTTTCAGAAGCAATAACCCATTTTCATGTGCTAACCTAGAGCCTAAGGAGAGCACTAGTACTCTACCCAGCACTGCACCTGTGATGCCTTAAGCTCTTCCAAGAGGAAAGCTATGTTGTAAACAAGCAGGAGAGCAGTCTTTTTCTCACTTCGAATCTTCCTGTCACATCCAAAGGAGCATGTAACAGCCTGAGGAAACAACCAGAGCTTTGGAGTCTTAAAACTGCTTAAGAGATTGCAATGGAGCCAGAGACGCAGTCCAGGAAACCTTCTTCAGCATAATGTTCAAGAAGATAGGGCAAGAATACTCCATTCCCAAGTGCCCTTGAAGGTGCTGGGATTGACAGCCGACAGAGTTCTCCTTTCTTCAGCCAACACCAACACTTAATAACACCTCACAGATATTGCTACAACTGATTTGGAACACACAACCTTATGTGTAGTGCACATGCACACCATCTCACCAGGAAAAATAAATGTACACAGTGCTAAGAATTAATTTTACATTCCAAATCAAGTGCTTCTCTAAGCATCTTCTTGATACCATAGATGATTTACCCTTAACTGATACATAAGCAGATTAGGTGCATGTGATTTGTCAGTATTACATCTACAGGCAGCCACTAATCTTAACTGACATATTCAGAACAAACAGTCTTGACAACTTCAGAAAAACTAACACGTTCTGGCATGACAGGTGGGGTTCAATACAAGCACAACTGCCACTTCACGAAGCAATGCAGAAACCTTGCTGAAAGGTTTCCTGAAAAAGGATAACCTTTTACCAAATGTCAACAACTTGAGCAAAAACTAAGCTGACTCATCTTTGCCCACAGAAGTTTCAACTTTTTCCCCATCACCCAGATGAGCCCTCAAAAAGCCAAGCCTGCAGATGGAGGCTGAGAACACTGCAGCCTCACCATGACCATCAGGCTGCTGGAAAGTAGAAAGGCTGTATATGAACCACTCAGGTCCTTGTTCTCCCATATTGTACACAAGCATGCCAGCCACTAACCAAAACAATTTGACTTTCTCTTGCCATAGTCCATCCTTGGTTTTCAAAAGGGAAGGCTCACACACTTAACTGGCCAGACTGAATCTCAGGTGAAACTCCTTTCAGCACCAAGTGAAGTGCTAGGAACATACTTCTCTCTGGGACTGCTTTATCTACCACCAACTGCACTTTATACAAACTACTTTAAGAAGCTCCCTTCCCAGCTGGCTGGTCTACAAAGGTACTATTCCAAATGCCTCTCCTTGTCTAACACTGTATACAAACCTAGGCACACAGTGCAGGGTGATCTAGGTAGGAAGTCCCCTAGAGGTCAGCTACTTCCAAATAGAACACTGAAGGACCCAAGTCCATTCACTGAAGTACTACTCATTTAAGCACTGGGAATCCAAGGGGCCCACAGAAACTCCAGGGAATGGGGACTGTATAAGATCATTACAGGAAGAGATTACAACCCCATGAACAGCAGTTTGCAAATAACAACAAAAACTAACAACAGCATGCTTTGATCCTTAACAATGTTGACAGCATAGACACTCCACAGACAGCATACTCCCTGTGGCACAGAAGGACCCTCAGAAGCTCCCTGCTTATTCAATACCCGTGAAAGCCACAACCAGCTTGCACGACCTAAGAGAATGGATGGATAAAATATGGAGGTGTGGTGCACAAGTACAAAAAGTGAGCAACTCTTTGTTTTCAAAACAAAGCAGAGAGTGGATCTTAAAGGGAAAGATAATAAAGGCCAGGTCACAGACAGAGCACCTGGAACATCAAAGCTGATCACCTAGTTTGGACTTAATCCTCATGTTCTCATGATGACATTGCATGGTGACCAAGATTATCTGTTCTCCATTTAAAAGCACTAAGGACAGCCATTGCTCTCTGGAATTCAACTTGCCTGAAAAGATTCACATTAAAAAGCTCAGTCTACAGAGTACCACTGTTTCTGTAATGCTGGAAAACCACTAGAGACTACACTAGAACAGAAATTGACAGATGGCTTCATTTTGTTGGATAAGAAAAGTTGAGAAGCAGTTAAGCATCCTACTTTGAGCAGGATATAAATGTGCCTGTTCCACTGTGCTCCCTCCAAGGTGAAGCAAAGCATTTGTTTGAATTAGCAACTGTGCTACCAGAATGAGTAACATAAGTTCATGCTTTGAAGTGCTGAGAAACCTCCTGCTTCAGCTACATCTGGTTCCATGGAAACAGAGGTCCACAAAAGCTTCAGCACCTCAAACATGACTGATGACTGGAGCTCTGCTGCACAGTACTTTACTTTAACCTAAGAATAAAAATCAATAAAGACTTCAGCCAGTTCAGTAGATAAAAAGAAATTTATCTTAAGCCTTGCAAATAAGCCTTTCAAAGAATGATGTTTGCCAATTCTGCAAGTATTTTATCAGCCTATTCATATGAGCCTATTCACTTTAAAAAAAAAATTGCAAGAGGAAAAAAAGATTATCTGAAGCAATCGCATGTTTGAAACAAGTTAGATACAGCCAACTCCTATAAATGGCCAAAGTTTATTTCTAGAACCATTTCTTCACACTTCTTATCATTCTTCAGACATTATAGCCTAAAAATAAGAGACATTATGAAGTCCTTAAATAAATAAAAACAACAAAAAAAACCTCCAACAAACAACCCAAACACCTAAAAGTAGTCCTTTTCCTCATTCACCACTGTATTTCAATGAGGTCATGTAAGTGCTTTGAGTGGCCACTACTTTCATTTCAAGAACTCAGTGATGAAACGTCAGATGTTCTTACTCCATATAATAACAGAAAAAAAAAAAAAAAAGTGTTAACAAAACTGTAAGTGATATTTGGAAAAAATACAGAAGTGTTTGGCAAGCATGTGTATTTTAAACTTCATACACTTAATTTGATAAATAAAATATACCATTACTATTAGGCTACTTCTGAATCCTCAGATGTCAAAGCTCTTCAAAATAGGCGAGGATCCTGCCTACATTTATCTATGAGATGAGGGACATTGGCCAAAATCACAAAAGGCTTCACTGGAGAAGTCAGGAAGAAAGCACTTGTTCAGAGGAAAAAATCTTGTTCAGAACTCCTTTTACTATAATGTAGGAGGGCTCTTTTAGGAAGATTTAAGGTACTTCCATATATCATAAAGATAATATAGCCTGGGATTACAGCCTTAGTCCCTACAAGTATGCTGATGTACTCAGAACAGAAAAAAAAAAAACAACACTTCATACCAATTTAAATTAAAATAGCAAGTTATTATGTCTTTCAAAGTAAAATATCACACAAGACTTTTCTCCTATTATCTTATTTAATCTCATTGTCAAAATACAAATGTATTTTATGGAAACATTACCTGGCAAAGAAGTTAGTAAAAGGTCCCAGTCTTCTCCGTCTACTGTCCACATCTGCCTCTTGACAAGATTCTTGCTGGCTCTGCTCCTTGGTCTCTTTAGGGGAATTCAAGGTAACATCCGAGAAGTGTGCTTCATCAGTCTCAAGATTCACAATTGCACTTGAACTGCTTGTGACCACAAAGTCTAAAATGTCTTCATTGCTAACTGATAAAGTTGTTGACAGGTCCGTGCTAAGACTAGAAACACTACACACAGAGATATCATCACTTCGATTTAGAGTTTTTGAGGTTGGACTATAAAGTTTGACAGTGTCATACCCCGTTCGCGGGAAAGTGGAGGATTTCCGCACAGCATGGTCATGTTCAGCAGTCAGAGAGTGGGGAGGCACATAAGGCGGCAGTGTGCATGCACTCTGGAAAGCCCTGTCAGGCACAATTTCAGGTTCTGACTGCTTTCTCTTCACAGTTAGCACACTGCAGTGAACAGGCTCTGGATTTCCTATTTCTAGAGTTGGAATACCAGAATCCACTGATTTAAGGCTATGACAATCTTCTAAAACACTGGACAGCTGGCCAGGCCGATACTCAGGCAATGACAGAGATCTCGCGGTCCCGGAGTTCAAGTTTTGAAGGCTCTGGATACCACTGCTCACTCTTGCGTCCAGAATTCCCATGAAGCTCAAACCATTTAAGGAGCTGGATAAATTTACATCAGTTGTCTTGGCCCAAGTGGTAACTGGTTAAAAAGAAAGAAGAGACAAGGTTATGCATTTGCAGAGAAGATGTGCTTTGTTCTTGGCTGTTAGTTGGGTTTTTTAAAATATATTCAGTCTTGTCATAACCTAGGCTTTAAATTAAAAATTATTAATCTTCTCTTAGACGTTAGTACTGTACTTTCCCCTTGCTTGAACAAGCAGGACAATGGCAACTTAAATTAGGCTTCTAGCAAACGTCAAGCATGACAAGCTTCTCACAGGTACTTTGTGTGCCGACGTTTGCTTCATATACATCTCCTGAGAGTGAAATTACATGCTATAAAACCAGCAGTACTTAGTGCTCCATGTCAATATTAAGACAAATATTTGGAATTTATATTTATGCCATCATAAATGCCATTTATGGTGTTGTGGGGGACTACAAAACTTGTTTCCATACACTTAGATAAAAATTCTGTAGTGTTCATTTAAATGCAATTTCTTCGTATTCTTCAGGAAACCATAAAATGGATAGTAAATTTGTCACTGAAATAGAATGCACAATATATCAGTCTTGCATTAAGGAAGAGATGCAAAATCTGGATAGCTATAAAGTTATTCATATAGTCAGTGTTTTGACAATACATATGATGCATTTCATCAGTGCACATCCAGTAAAACTGACACTTGAAAATAAATTTACTGTACTCAGGAATTGCTACCCTTGATTTCTGCAATATATAGTCACACTGTCTCCACATGGGCTGCCAGCAGGGCAGTTAATCCAGCCAGTGCCCTACTTCCAGGCTAAATCTGAGCAACCCCCTCTTGAAGGGGCAGTCAAATATGAGCTGCAGGTTAGATGCACTGTCCTCACAGGCAATTACAGCCTTTAATAATCCTGGAACACCACCAGGACCCTTTAAAACACTATGTGATTACTATAGCGACATTACACACATCTTCTTTTTCTATATGAATAGTTGAATTATCTATAGCTCTGCTTAAGTTTGCAATGTAATTAGTTTGCAGCACCTGGCAGAACAAATATGCACATATTGCTTTGGTTTCTTCACCCTGAAACACTCCGGGCTAAGCGTGAAGGAGTGCAGAACACATCTCCCATCTTGCCAACAGCTTGCTTTCTAGACCAATTTCTCTCCAGTTCCTGAAGGCTGGTCTCCTGCTTTTGTTACCCTCTCTCAAGCGTAGCACTGAAGTAAAGGCGAGGTCCCCCCTGCATCCCACTTTTAAAACACTAACAATGCCCCCCTCGGTTAAAAAACAAAAAAACAAAAAAACAACTAAAAAAACCAACACCAAAACCCACCTCAAACAAAAACCTACAAAGTTTCCAAGTTGGGAAAACTTGTGCCTCCTAGAAGTTCCAAATAAAGTCTAGTGGCAGCTAAGACCTGCCAAACACCAAGCTTGACATGCTGTCTGTTCTTAGATATGAGCCCATCCATACACTTTGGCCTTGTGATGCCAAGAGGCAGGAAGTGACAGAAAACACAATTCAAACATATTGCACTGGTCCAAACCCAAACAACTTTTCCACAAGCTTTCAGTCATATGAAAAGTTTGTTAAACCAAACCTACTTCATATGCTATACCAATGCTACTCACTAGCTGATCCAACATGCCAGTTCAACCCACTCCTAAGTGTACAGAACAGTCAATCTTTTAGACCTTTTCAGAAGTTTTTAACAGCCAGCTTTGCACTACCCATCCAAATAAATCAATGCATCAATTGTCTAAAACTTTGGATAAGCAAGGTTTCAAATTGATTGTTTTGACTAAAAAGCTTGTGAAGATGTACACTTTTCTAATAGAGTTGCTATAGCAACTTCTATTTTTTCACATGACCATGGTTTGAAAAGTTGATATCCCCTACAATTTAAAAAGTAATGTCTTTAGATAGCTTAGTGTACCAACTGCATACACTAAATTAAAATTGCAACCGTCAGTAAAAATCCCAAACAAAACCTCCTAAACAACAATCTTAGAAAACAGGCAACAACCTATTCTACTTCATTAAGTCAATTGTAATAATTGAAGCGTATAAACATGACAGAACATTTGAGTATTAGATATAATTACTGTTGCACACTGGGATCACCTGCACCTGAACCCTCTTTCTTGAATTTACTTATTTTTCTAACATAAGTCTGACTCTATGCTCTTCCCCATGCTCACCCACTCTTTTTTATACGTTATATTGTTCTTCAACAACTCACCCAGTACCAGGTTCTCAAGGACATATACAGATACACATACTGTAACAGCATAAGCAAGGGTGTAGGTGTTTCCTTTATCACATCTGATACTTAGTAATGCATCCAGAAATTGCAGTCCAGAAAACAAAGTACAGAATGTAAACAGCTGGGAACAACTTTGATGACTGTTGAGTAAACAGCACAAGTATGTTCCTATAATGAATTCCTCCAGTGATTGCCTTCACTTCTGCCCAATGATTTTCTCAAGTAGCAGCCAGTCCTTAGTTTAATTGTATGACTCTCTTAACCAAGATTGCAAATGGTAAGCACTCAGGCAGCCTTGGAAGAGGCAGTAAACACAGCAGCTCAAGAAGCCAAATAGTTCCATAAACAAGAGAGTTCAAAGAGAAGTGAAAATAAATTTCTGCATGAGGTAATGAAGCTAGTTTAACTTGGCTTTGTATTTTTTTTAGCAAAAAAAGTGTAAAAGGAAGAGATCCTTTAAATGGGTGACCAGCAAATGCAGAAGTACGTAACAGCTAAAGCCTGCTGGAGCAAATTATGCAACAAGCAGCTACCAAGGTTTTACATAGTTCAGACAAACAGCTTTGAAATACACACATCAGTGGCTTTACATGAAAACCTGAGATGCAATTAGCTGTCAGAAACATACACAAGAACTCCTTGATTCGTTTTGCATTAGGTTGTTGTAGGATTGTTTTTAAGGATGTAGTAAAGTGATACTTAAAGTGATTTTAGCTGCCTTGCTGGTAAATGCAAAAATCCTACTATGTCAAACAGAGTGTTATGTGATCAAATATGAACTTCTTTCCATAAAACATTTAATAACATATCATTAGTGTTATGTTTTTATTGATGATGTTACAGTAAGGTAATAGCAGTATAATAAAATAATAATAAAATATTGAAAAGGAATTTTGTCTGCACAACATTTGCAATCCCCATTATTTACTTAGGTGATAACATACTTAAATGAAATTGATATTTGTAAATATCCTACATCTTGCAGGAATAATGACCTCGTAAGTGTGAATATACCAGAAGAGAAGTAACAAGGAAAAGGGAGATAGGAGGTCACAAGTGGCAAGGAGAGGGAGGGAAGGAAGGTAACATTTTCTCATTAACTCTAACATAAATGCTAAGCACCACCAAATAAAGCTAGTTTTGTAGCCATGTTCAAAATTAACATTAGGAGGTTAGATATTCAAGCAAAAGGTAGTTGAACTGTGTAACTCCTTGCCAAATAACACTGTGAATGCCAGAAGTGTAAGCTCAGGGAAGAAAAAATCACTGAAGACTCCAAAACAAAAAGAAACTCTGTAAGTCTCCGAACTGAAAGTGTCAGAATTTCAGGGAAAGATCAAAGTACATTAGTCGTGCTTTTAAGTCCTTTCCCAGGTAAATTCTTCTGTCTGGCAGGTGGAGTTTTGGTCAGTCCCAACAGGGCTGTCCATGCGGCCTCACAGACCCCAGATTCTGACCATGATGTGCAAGAAGGCTCTGACAATAACCAAATGCTTTGAAACAGTTTCAGACTTTATGTATCACCCAACCACACAGACAGAACAAGTCATGCTTGTTTATAATTTCTAAAATCTAGAAGAAATTAGCTTTTTAATCTATTTTAATGTAAAATTTAAAGAAAGTTAATAGAAATGCTAAGCCACTAAGAGTAAAACAAAGATCAGAAAGGCTTTACATCTTCTCGCCTCATAGCAATGAGAAGAATGGTTTTTACTCAGTTCTCAAAGAGTTAACATCTCAATTTTTTTACCATCTTGTCTCTTCAGCACTTACCTCTGCCAGCTTACTTTTAAAAAGCAGGTTTTAAGAGTAAGGAATTGCCTCAATTACAAAGTTGCAACTGTGTTGGTTTTGTTGGGTTTTTTTTCCTTAAAGGAAAAACATTTTTTAGAAAGCAAAGTTTAAACTCTCCATGCATGTCACAGCATTTTTATTCAATGTACCAAGAAACATGCTGCTGCTATGGGTGCAACTACAGGTGATCTCAGTGCACAAGAGCATGGAAAACAGTTCTGTTTATTAAACATTTCTTGGCTGGGACTGTTAACGTTCATGTTCCAACAGCCACTTTTGACAAAGCACGAGAATGAGACACAGTGACTGAGGATACGTGTGTAAGCACTGCCAAAACTTTGGTGGCAAAAACAAACAGTTCGAAGTTGGCCGGGATTTTTTGTTTGGTTTTGTTGTTTTGGTAGGGGGTTTTAATTATTTATTTTTTTTTAAGAAGTCTTTATCTAACTCCCAGCTGGCACCCTTCACAGAGCGTGAGCCTTACACGAGAGGAGAACTTGGAGAGAGTTCCCAAGTAAACCCTTCACCGCTCCTCCACTTTTTTTGCTACGTCAGGCAGGCAATATAAATGAGCCACGGTGCTCTACAGCCTCTGCTCCAGAAGCAGTTTACAGGACCTTCCCCCCCCGCACCAATGTTGCTGAAAAATCTGAGGCCACGTTAAACGAGCAGCAGCGTCCTAAGAACTTCAGCTCATGTGGGCTGGAGTTTTGTTTGGTCTTTGGGAGTCGCCTAGGAAATTTGACTGGAGAGGCCGAAAGGAACGAAAGAACAAACAAAACACCCCAAACCAAGGGGAAAAAAATAAAAATAAAAATGAAAAAATACCAAACGATAACAAACACAACAAAAACAACCAACCAATGGTTTCCCCAAAGGCTTGAGGAAGCAACGCTCGCCCTCCTTTCTGGACTTTAAGACTTTAAAGTTTACAAGGAAGCCGAGCGGCTCCCCAACCTCCCCAGGCGCAGGGCAGGGCCACAGCCCCCC